TGAGAATGAGCAGTTCAAATGCAATATGCAATGAAAGCAAAGTATCTGGAGTGGGTGATAATCATAGCTACATTTACATTGTATATTGCACATGTATTTATCCCAGAGGATGCTACAAAGAGTTTAGAAAAATTGCCCTTCTTCTTGGACCTACATGGTTTTTAGCCCAGCTGCACTGAGGTGCTAAAAGCAATCAAGAAATAAAGTCCTTCCATGTACCCATTTACTACACATGGGTGGAGGGTGGCAAATGTAGATTAATCATTGATGTCTTGCCAAAGGACATTAGTGCCATGGAGGGACTCCACCGCAAACCATGTGATCCACAGTCATAGTGACTTAATAATCCAATATACCATGACATCTCAGCATATTAAATCTTTTAAAAAATAACTGTTAATAAGAACATTTTTGTGGGCCAAGGACCCAATTTCATTAAGAAAATAAATAATACCAAATGGGATCTGCATCTCTTACATTTGATTTAGCTCTTTAAATTTTCTGTATCTTTCTATCAAATAAAGCATAGCTTCATGAGATATTGACGCCATCTCTCAAACCTCCAAACTAACAGCATTACCTACTTGTATTCCCTTGAGATACTTTTGATTAGATTATACAATTAATCTTCTTTCTTCCCATTCGAAGTATAAATCTCATAACTGAGAAAGTTTTTTTGAAATCATCAAAGGAAATTAAATTGACTTCTTACAATCAGCCAAGGATACATGTAGTTGGAAAGCGTCTACTAATTTCACACAATCAAAATTACCTTTTGTTGGAAGTAAGTCACCAGCTTCAGTAACCTCAACATAACGTGGTTTGCCCCTAGCCCCCTCCACACTATCATCAGCTCATTTAGCCTGCATTCAAAATCTCTAAAGATTTGAGAGGGCCAGCTACACATACACCAGTCTTATCTGTGGATTAAAAACATTCTCCACAAATCTTGCCTAATTGTCCCTCTGATTCACAGACCACCTCATTGTATGCTAAAGACATTCCAAAGGGCCAGAGAAATCACCCCCCCCCCCCTCCTTTTTTTTGGACACATTCCCCCTTCACCCTTTCATGTAAGAGTGAATGAAGAATGCCAAGATATTTCCCAAGGTCGACTAACAATTGGATAAGCATCATTCATTGAAACTGCACATGAGTGGGATAAAATTCAGGGCATTTTATAATAAAGTCCACAAACAGCAATTTGTGCACTGGACTGCTTTTGATTTTGATTTGGTACCATCAGTAAACAAACTTTATATAACAGCGAAATCAATGCTGAAAATGTTACAGAACATTGCAATAAGTATCAATAACTATTAACTAAGTTCACATATCTTATTTTAAACAAATCATTGCATAAGATCTAACATCAAATTAAAGATAAAGTTGAGTTCTGGTCATGCGATTGCATTGAGAAAGAAAAGGTGTGGAATAAATTAGAAAGAGTTGATCATGTAGCATGTACATGAAGTATTAGTGTGTGCTGCAAGGTTCTGGAGTCATCAAAATCATAATAAATTTGGCCCAGTCTTGGTAAAGTAACAAGCACTGTACACAGAAAGATGTATATGGGACTACCCAAATGGTGTTGGGCCTACTTACCTTGATTTCCTTAACTTTCTATGCTCATTACTCAGCCATTTTTCTTTTTCTACCAAAATTGTTTGGCAAATGACTGAGACTTTATTTTCTTTTTTTGATGAGAACTCAAGTTTATCTTTAAGAAAAGTATACATTTCTTGCACATTCTGTCTGCCTTACCGGTAAATCATATTATATTCCAACTTTTTCCAAATCTTGATAAGGCATGAAGAAAGGCACTCATCACAAGTTTTAACACTTTTCTTCAAAACTTTTAGTTTCAACAATTTTCCAAAGCATGCCTCAGTTTTGCATTATCAACACAAAAAATCAAAGAAGAATTGAATTCATCTCATTTGCTTTTAGCAAGTTAGCAAACAGGAAGACAACTGTATGCATTAACAGCCATGACAAATTTGCAGTGAACTACACATGTAAACATACCTTAGAACAAATTGGTCAATAAGATACACAATTGCAGAATCACTTTTGGGGGAGAACGGGAGTTTCCTGAGTGTTCGAAAGAAATCAGAAATCTGATGTTTTCTTAGCAAGCCTTCTTGTAAAATCTTTGCCATGGTGTGGCCTTTGTAATTAAAGGGAAATCTCACCTTACTGACAAACAACTCTAAAAGAATGCAGATATCAACAGTGATATCAGGTTTCCTACATTAATAACTCTCTTTATTATTGGTCTGATTTATTGCAATCTTTCGCCATTCTGTTTCTCTTATTTTTCTGCTCTCATACAAGTTAACACCCTAAAAGGGCTGGGTTATTTGGGCACTCTCTCAGCTGAGGGGGAGGGGACCCCTCTTGATATTTCAGCAATATAATGCATGTCTGAAATTTGGCATACAGATAGAGTATTTCATAAAGAATAAGTTTAACTTGAAGTACATTTCCAGGCACTATCATGTCTTCTCACTCACACTAGATGAGTCTACAAGTGATGGGGTCAGAGAAGTATGATTCCACAATACTGAGAGGCCCCAAAACAGAGGCACTGTGCTGGCCAGTACTGTAGTCATTTCCTTTTAGCAGGCCTAGTGTCATAAACAAATTGCTTTCCACGCACTTCATTTCTTCAATTGCTGATAGCCCAACCAGAGTCTTGTAATCTCTATGTATAGAGCCCATTTTAACAGGGGATCATATGGTCTATGCATACATGTTCCACTCTCAGAAAGAGAACTATAGCTCACTTTGCATCTTGGTTAGTTTGCTTAGCTCTTGAACCAACAAAGAAGGGTCCACACACTTCATCAACTTCCTCACTGAACTATTGGATGCCAGTGGCACAAATAGAAAGAGGGGCACAATACCAGGAATCTCCATTACAGGAAGAGCACTTTCTCTTCATCCTTTATATGTACTTCTCATTCCAATTTGAACCAAGCATACAATATTTTGTTTTAGTTTTACCACATTTCCCTGGCTTACATGTACTATTCACACTTGAACAACATTAACATTCACATGACTTTCAACCAACAACAAATATGTAATTATTTGACACTTAAAAAGTTTGTCAAGAATACTTGATTGGAATACTGACAACAAATCTATTGATACAATTTTACAATTTAAACATTTCCTATTTTTCTTAAAGGTAAAGACTAAAGACCAGTATTGGAAACGCCCCAATTTAAAAAAATGAAATGGAAGCTCTCATTACCAATCATGTGAAAGAATATGTTTTGACTAATACATGATGATAAAAAAATTTGCCGGGAAAACGCCTACTAATTCATATATTTCGTAAATTTGTTTCTCTCATGGTCTGTGAGAGATATAGGGTAGTCCCATATACATCTTTCTGTGTATAGTGCTTGTAACTTTACGAAGAATGGGCCAAATTTCTTATCATTTTGATGATTCCAGAACCTTGCAGATGCTAGATGCTAGATGATCAATCGTTTCTGATCGATTCCACAATGTTTCTTTCACAATGCAATCGCATGACCAGAACTGGTCTTTACCTTTAAATGCAGTTTGGAGCGGGGGGCCGTCTCAGAAGCAAATGGCTATCAGTCAATTTCATGACATGACTTATGACAATTTAATTTCTATAAAAAAACACTTTGTCACTTTCATTTCAGAATACTAGAAAGATATTGAGGCTAATTCAAACATGTTTCAAAGTAAGTTCATGAATACAGAATAGTCAGTATCAATGAAATGAAGGTTACCTGAAAAATAATCAGGAAATATTTGAAATGATCACAAAGTCAACTACAAAATTGGGCCACCTACAAGTACAATATTGATTGTTTTGTCTTTGGAATGCGTCACCATCCAATATGACATAATAATTATGGCGGGAGGAATGCCTACTGTGGGCGGTGGCAAGGGCAATGTAAGTAGGCCAACGTGGACCAAGGGCTATCCAGCCAACAGGGTCGGGTGGGTGACGGTCGCTAGGTAGTGGAGATTTATTGTCAGAATATGAAGTGTTTAAAGTCACTGAATTTGAGATGAAAGTCATGACAGTCTACATTTTTCTCTGAATTATCATCTAACTCTGGACTTCTACGCCGCCAAGAGTAAAATAGCTAATCATAAAAACACAACACCGTACGGGTAAATCAACACTTATCAACCCACACCTCGGCCTCTAGACCGAATTTTCCGTCTCTTTCGTTCGTTAGCCTCTTATTGGGGTAGGGTCGGCTCTCTCTTTAGAGACGGAAGCCGTTTATACACATGTCCTTGCTAACGCCACGGCCAGTTCTGGTCGTAGCGTTTTGCCCCCAAAATCCCCCAAAATGTCATTTTACCTCGAGCATGTTATATTGTAAATTAGGCCTAGGCTATTATAAATCAGTTCCACTTACCAACTTGACTGAAATAATCAGTTTAATAGTCCCTTTTTAGGAAATTATGGGTCAAAATCGAAATCCATTTTGAAAATCTTTTTCAACATGGATTCCGATTTTGACCCATAATTTCCTAAAAAGGGACTATTAAACTGATTATTTCAGTCAAGTTGGTAAGTGGAACTGATTTATTATAGCCTAGGCCTAATTTACAATATAACATGCTCGAGGTAAAATGACATTTTGGGGGATTTTGGGGGCAAAACGCTACGACCAGAACTGGCCGTGGCGTTAGCAAGGACATGTGTATAAACGGCTTCCGTCTCTAAAGAGAGAGCCGACCCTACCCCAATAAGAGGCTAACGAACGAAAGAGACGGAAAATTCGGTCTACTCGGCCTCATGCGCGCAACAGGGATTCCCCTCTGGAGTAGTTACTGGTACTATAGTGGTAGAGTTTAGATTCTACCAAGACTAAACGCAACATTTTCAAAAATACTACAACTCGGGAAGTAAACCAAATTTGTCTTACATCAGTAAAAACAATCCGTAGAGTATTGATCAGAGTGAATTTTGAGAGTAAGAAAAAGTAACTTACCTTGCACCCAAAGTTTTTCCACGTTCGTTTCAATCTTGGTAAGTTTTAGTCCAACGGCAAATGCGCCCAATATAACGAGTCCAAGAAATAACGCCTTGCCGCAGTGGAGTTGTAGATAACATCCCAATGTGAATAAGAACGCCTGCAGCTTGCTTCGAAGCCACAATGCCGCCTTGTTTCCATGTGCCTTGCCCTGTGGATCAGAGGGAAAAGAAGAGACGAACCAGAATGAGCATCTGGATGTCCGGTGCTAGAAATTGAACACGAAATAGTGTATAATTTCATCAAAGTCCTAGATAAAGAACAAATCTCCCACAGAGTTCACTTATTCCCCTCTCAAAATATCCCGAAACTTCGCACATAGTCCGAATCAAAAGAGGGCATGCCGCGACTAAAACATCAAATTATGTGAAATAATAATGCAATTTACTACGCTCGCGAAGGTAAATAGCGGCCTGCTTGCAGCTTGGCAGACGATAAAAGCTTGACCCATCATTTGTCATGACTTGCCCTTCGAGATCAACCAGCATTTTCTTACATGTACTATACCTAACAACATTGCAACTTCGCAAAGCAAACAGAGCCTCCAACCAATTCCTACTTTTCCGAAAACAAAAAACTTGTTTAACTTCCGTCAGCGGTAGATGTCAAATTTATGCCATGTGACGGCAAACGCACGAGATTCGAAAAGGTAAACATAGATTAAAATCAAGAACTCATTTGAAATAAAAGTCAATCATAATAAGACAATTACACAATGATGTTTACCCTTAATTACTTGTAATTTTCTACCTTATTCTAAACTTGCCATTTCTTGGGCAAAATTTTAGTTCAAATAATCGCAGGGTTAGTAACCACAATTTTAACGAAACATGTGGACTTCATTCGCGCTCTTTTGAATCTGCGTGTGTCGCAATATTTGCGAAGGACGGCTAAAGCTCGACAGGCCAGGTTGTAGATATTTAAACGGGGCAAAGTTTTGATACATCATAATTACACCGGAGTCTTGTATGGCGCTCACGTCTGGCACAGTGCTACTCCTGGCGCTCCATTATTATTACCATGGTTATCTTTAGCACGGGTGCCATTAAAGCGTTCGAGCATTTCAAAGAAGTTATTCCTGCCAGCTTTACCACAACTGGGTAGAGTGGTAAGTTTAGATTAATCTCTTGCCAAAGGACATTAGTGCTGCGCCTGTTCGACAGGGATTCGAACCACTACCTGATGGTTCACAGTTCAAGACTTATTCACTGAACCACATTACTTCTACAGATGTATAAGTATATCTACCCTAAATTGATGTGTGACCTATGTGTAACATACATGATCTCATATTAAATTATTTGCTTCCTTTATACATTATTTACCATGGAAAATAAACACAAACAAATCCCCACTCATTTTCAATTTGCTGGACACTTTTCTGCAATGTTAAGAATACAGTGGGTTGTACAGAATGCTCACTAGCTAGCCTCACTGCCAAACTAGTAATTACATGCATTTCTGTCCATTTCAATTATGGTTCCTGTGACTCTTTGTGAAAAAAAGAACTGGTAATAGAATCACCATTGGGTCAAAGTATCATAAATTAATAGCTTTAAATAAAAATTCCAAAAACCTCAACTTCCGTCACTTTCTAAACATGAGATAGATGAGAATAACATTTTACTGGCAACTTCAAATTTGTTATCTAAAATTAACTGTCAAAAATGTGTCTTACAAAATATTAACATGACAGGGACACAGGGGTAATGATAAAGGCTATAATATTTAGCCTTATAACAATAATCTCTTTTAATAATGTATACTTAAAAAAGGTGGAAAAACATAATAAATGCAATATACTGGATGTAATCATGGTAATAGTCATACTACTATAGCTCAAACAAAAGCTATACTGTATGCAGTATACAAGGATGGAAAAACAGGAAAGATGGACTGGAAATTAAGGCCTACAATATTTATGTTTAAAATAAACATAATCAAAATTAACATGTTACAGTAAATACATAATTCAGAACGGGTGTGTACATGATAGCGTGTAAATAGGTTATTCGATTTTCAAACAAATCAGCATCTCCCAAAACTCGATCAGTTGGACTGAAAACCTGGAAATCTTTTACATAGAGTGAACAAATCAATGCACATATTTCATTGAATTTTTTATCTTTCAGAGAACACAATGATTTGTCTTTCATTATCCTTCAGATTTCGATATCGTATCCTTGTTAAGATTCCTCGACAAACTTTACGAAACAGAAACAAATTATACCCGATCCACTTGTTTATACGCATAGTCTGCATTGCACCAACTAGTTCTCGTTAGCAATTCCTCATATACATAGTCCTCGGGTAATCCAGGAGTCGACAATCTTCCGTCCTGCAATTGAGATAAAAACAAAACAAAATGACGATCCATTAATCAAGGTCGATTTAGTTGCGAAACATGATGATATGTTGGTCATTGTTTACGTAAGCCTGGTAAAAGATAGATTCCCCAAGCATGCCAAGTGCATATGCGAAACGGGTTCTCGGTTACAGAGGACCACTATTATTGGCAATGCTTTCCAATTCCACAGCCGCGGTTTAGATTCGGGACCACCCCTGAAGTTTGGTGTAGAAACTAGAAGCCAAGCATGCGTGGACTTTTCAACCCTGCATGTGATGTGTGTAATGCACAATCCGACCACAACAGAACTTTCACTTCCACGGGCTCGAAGAACACAAAATATCCTTTAAATTCCTTATTTTCCTCGCAGACACGACGTTTGATAAAGTGGAGTTTTACCTCAGAATCCGGCGTGGCAGGCACTGCCCAACGCTCCATATTACGGGATACATAGGTTTCCTGCCACAGTCGTCAGCAATGTTTACACGTAAACTGGCATGTTGTGCAGAAAGTAAGAATCTCATTCAAACGGGAATCGTGAGCGGGGTTGTACGATTAGCCTCGCTCGCTCTTCTGCCGACTAACCACAGCGCGAGGCATTTCGTAGGCGAGTTTCTCTCTGCTATGCTACATTCTCGCGGCGCAGCAGGCCCCGCCTCCACCTGTCACAGCATTACAGCGCTAGGTCAAGCTCGCTCGTTCCCATTGGTCGATTCGAGGACCTCCAATTGTGCCTGCTACAACGTGTGTCATTAGTAGCCTAGCGACGCACACCATCGTAGCCGAAGTAGGGGGAAAAAGTTCCCGGACCACACGTCTCGGCGTTGGCTGGCCCACCCTGTACAACAGGCCGCAACCTCCACCACAGAGCGCAGAGAGAGAGAGAGAGCGGCGACGGGAGGAAGACGAAAGAAAAAGTTGGAAACTGCGCTATTCACTCGTAAATAGCCATCATGGCATTAACAGAAAGGTGGACACTTCTCACCCTCTGACCATTCTCAGCACTTGTTTGAGAGAATTTCGCAGTAATGTTTTATACGGGGGAAAGCCGAGGCATTAGTTGTGAGCACAAAGAAAGAAATTTGGATTGTCCTCTCTTTTTTCACGATTTTATAGCAAAGCACCACAGTAGATCGAGAAAAGAGCACTATATTTTAGAATTCAATATATCAGTGAATTTTTAGCACTGCTGGGAAGAAAAAGGTCAAATCAGTGTGACCCTTAAAATAAGAACAGATCAAGTTTCAATATCAACGCCAATGTGGATTGTGCGTATGCCTACTCATTTTTCATCTGCCGATTTGACCTAAAAATTATTTTTCTTCCATGATCTTTTTCATCACAACCTTTCGGTCTACAACTATCTGTATCTATACTAAGCAACCTAAAACACACGAGCAGGTTCTCATTAATAATTATGGCAACACAAAATGAATTACCATTGAATGATGAGACTCCTATTATTGTGTGGAGGTTCATAATCCAACAACATTATGTTGGTCAAATAATAATTGTTTATTAAAGGTACTATGTCCTATTTGCAGGCCCAAAAAATGAAAAGGATAAATTCCAACGGCATTTGAAAGATAATACTAATTTAGAACTTCTCTAAAAAAAAAGGGGGGGGGGCTGCATGAACATGAAGAAACGTTACGTTTGTGAATGGCTTCTTTTGATTTTGGTTCAATATCAAACCAAATCACTTTAAAAACCGGGGGGCCGGCTTTTTACGCCACGTGTTCGTGTAGACCCATATACATCTTTCTATGGACAGAAAAGACTTGGCCAAATTTGTTATCATTTTGATGATTCCAGAACTTTGCGATACACACAAATTCTTATATGCTATAAGTATAATGATCAACCTTTTCTGGTCGGTTCCACACCGTTTCTTTCACAATGCAATCGCATGACCAGAACTCAACTTCATCTTTAAATCAATAAGTGAATAACTCAATTTTGTTCAGGCCTCTACTTTCTGTTGCTTACTACATTAAATATTATTGTACCCATAAGTTATACATCACAGCGGCCAATTCAACATCATTCAATTTTGCTTCCGCCATTATCACACAGCAAATGGGGAGAATGGGGGTAAAAACTAAGGCAAATTTAGATTGGTATTTATTTCCTCCTACAATATTATCTGTAAGAAAAATGGGCATTCTCCTTCCAAACTCAATCTTTCTTTATACGCCTTGATACCTATGCAGAGAATGATGTTGTTAATAGCTCCAGTAGCATGCTTGCTGGCAGCCATATGTCCGTATGTTGTGTTTACTACGTTCCCGTTTTTACAACTTGGGTGGCCGCCCTCGCTCGCTCTCTCTTTCTCTGTTGTGACGTCACAAACGGAGAGTTTACGGGGACTTTCGTAATCGATACGATCATTAGAAATACCTGCAAGTACATCGTGTATACTATCATTAGGTCCATGGTACTATCATGGTGTAGTAGCATGGACCCTACTAGGTCCATGGTAGTAGGTACACGATACTGTCATGGACCTCGTCGTAGGTCTATGCAGGTAGTTAAACTCCCTGTTCCACTATACTATAAACAGGAGGGCATATTCAGTTCGTATATAAGTCAGAGCGGGAAAGTCTGTAACTTTTCAATGATGAAAGAAATGGAGCTGGAGTGGTAGTACTAGTAGGAGATAGAATGATAACGAAAGTACAGGGAAAGGGTAACTTTTTCAATTTCAGATTATTTGCTGATGACTCAAATCTTTTTCATACTTTTAATCCTAGACAAAAAGAAATTGATTTAGAAATTGTAAGTGAAAATTTAATGAAGGTGCAGGAATGGTGTAATGCAAATGAAGTCACAATACAGAAAACAAACTATATGATTATGAAATCCAAAGGTAGATCAATAGACAAAAAGGGATCTGTGAGAATATCAAGATCAGATATTAAAGAGGTATCTGTTGCATCATTTGTAGGAATTGAAATTGATTGTCACCTTTCATGGAAAGAACATATTCAGACAATAAACAAATGCATAAGAAAGAAAGTAGGTATTCTGTTTAAACTGAGACATTTTGTTCCCAAGAATATACTTGTGTTATTATATAAGGCTTTTATACAGCCTCACCTCTCCTATGGAGTAAAAGTATGGGGGAGCACTTACAAAAGTAATCTAAATTGTATATATTTAAGTCAAAAAATGGCAATGAGAGCAATTACATTCAGTCCACTTAGAACAGACTCCAAAGCTCTTTTTCAAAGTCTAAACATTTTGAATATTTTTCAACTTCATGAACTTCTTGTATCAACATTTATGTATGATTTGGTAAAAGGTTTTTTACCACACGACTTTAGTGGATTATTGTCAGATGATACAGCACAGATATGCAACTAGGAGAAAAGAAAGTGGCTTACTTTATCAACCAAAATGTAAGACAACGCAAGGGCAATTTTGTATTTCGTTTGTAGGAACAAAGCAGTGGAATGATCTGCCAGATGAAATTAGATTAAAAACATCATGGTTATCTTTTCGGAGACATCTTTCCACCTACCTTCTATGTAAATGACGTGGGCTCAATCCCACCCCCCTTCGTTTTTTCCTTTTATATTACTTGTCTTCCTTTTATATAAGTATACACTTCCTTGTTAACGATTATAGCGGCCTTAAGCTTTTACAGGATTTGTGCATGTACGAACATGTGTATGATTATTTTTATTAATACATCCTTTGCATTTTTATGAACACATTGATGATTTTATTTCTTCAAAAAATTTGTCTTCTTTTATTATAATGCTTTAACGCTTAAGCTTTTTTATTTTTATTTTTTCATTTTAGTAAAGAAAAAAAGTTACATGATATTGTATTATTTTGTTGTATATATGTAAATACAAAACAAACAAGTTTTACATTCATATGTAAAAACAAATTAACAGAAAAAAATCTTGCCAAAGAATGGAACTAGGCTCGACTAGCACTTGTGCTAACTTCTAGTTCACATTAAGAACTTTACCTAAATATAGTAATATACATATTTACGTATATATCTTTTGTACATTTAATAGTATGCAGATGTATGTCTAAAAAATATCGTTTTAAAACCATTACTGTTCAATCGACATTACTCTTGTGTTATATTCTTTGCATTGTATGATTGTTCATATGTACTGTCATTATTGTGATGTGTTGTTGCTAATAAATTCAAATTCAAATTCAATTCAAATTCAAATAGATAGACAGGGAGGTGGGTCCTGGACACAGAGAGAAATTGGAATAGAGAAAAGGAGATGATTCTAAAAAAAGGTTGTCAGGTATATAATACATGTATAAGCGTTTTTGTGGTCGTAGATGCACCAATGTTATCTGAAGTCATAACCTGTAGTGTTGTTGTCGTTGTGTGTACAGGGTTGACATTATCACTTTGTCTGTCCTAGCTCACATTCTCAGCTAAAGAAAATTCAAGAACATTGTATTGCGGCACTTTTCTACTTTCTTTTTTCACAGACGCCAAAATCCCGTCGGGGACAAGTCTTACCAGAGCTTTCTGGATCCTTGGTGGATTTTCTTCATCAACCTTGACCGTTCTACGTACACGCACACGATTAAATTTCATCCTTGGACCACGTACATCACCCCCCCCCCCCCCCCTCCTCCTCTTCTCTCTCCCTCTATCTCCCCTTCCCTCCATCCATCCACCTATCCATCTCTGCTTCTCTCCTCCTCCTTCTCTCCTTTCATGCTCTCTCTCTCTCTCTCTCTCTCAATTTCCATCTTTCTCTGCTTCCCCTTTGGAGATATTGCTATTTTTCTTGAACATGAATATATACTCTATGTAATGTATGCCTGTAGTGTATTCGGGATTATTATGCCTATTTCATCATCATAGTTTTCATGCTTTTTTTGCAGATTACAGGACTCACGCCGCCCAGTGCTCTTATTCAAGGTTCAGGTTAAAATGGATTTGGGACTCCCGTGACCTGCGACCTTTAAAAGGTCAAGTTCAATCTGAGTTCGAATCTCCACTGTTGGTCCCCCCCCCCCCTCCCCATTACAAAAATGGAATTTATATTCACTTGATTCGGTTTATAATAGCTGTAAGAAAAAAATGGTCACTACTTTGGAGATAAAAAATATTCAACGCGACCCCTTTTTCCAGGCCAACTATTATTTCTCGTCTCTTGCAGACCTCATTAGTTTTATCTAAAAATAGATTTTTGCATTCATGTTTAAGTTTAACGATCAAACTCTCATTCATCTTTTTTAAATTATAGGACTAATAGAGGGCGAGGCAGAATTTGCAAACATATTATACTTAATGATTTACAACTTTTGTAAGCTGGCAAAAAAAATCTTTTGGCGAATACATTAAAAAAAAAAAAAAGATTTTCATCATCTTGCAATTTGGCTTACATGTGATATTGAATGAAGCTAGTTCTCCAAATAAAAGTTTTAAGATCCTGAATTTTGCATAAGCGAACAGAATCTTTAGCATTTTTATTTTAGACCTGTTATAGTGAGATTGTAATCCACATCGTTACACTACGAATAGGCAACCCTTCTGCCCCCACAGATCATGAAAGCACATAAATTGGACCAACAATGAGGGAGTCATGATTATTTGAAATATGAGGTCAATAAATCTATGCAAATCTCATATTGGCAATTTCCTCAGTG